AAGCAAGCACAAAGAACTGGATAAAGGATTGAGCGTGATATTGAGGTTTTTCAGAAGATTAAACTTTAGTTCACATTGCCCATTTAATAAGACAACAACTTTTGGCGCAAAGGTTTGTAGATAAATATGATTTGACAACATGTGATTATTAAGAATGCATCGATGCATCAATACACACATATAATTGTCATGGCATACACAGAAGTATCCTTTATATGAAGTAATTAATTCACAATTCTTCAACAATTCTATTCCAATATTTTTTTGTATTTATTAGTTATGGTTATAAAAAACATTTTCTTTTATGGTACTGCGATTAAAAGAAGCTTGTATTTTTGATATTATTTTTGACAAGTACCTTCAGTTTCTAAATAAGTAAATTCAATTTTTATTTCTATAGTAAAGTTCGTTTTTGATTATATTTATTTAAAACTTTTTGGTAAAGTTTGTAGGATAGAGATTAGTGTTGAATTGATACATAAAAATCAAATGCTGATATTTATATCAAAAACATCCATAGTTTTTGTTTCTTTCATTAAAGATTTAGCATGTTCACGGTTTTCTTCAGATTAAATAGTTTTGCAAGCACGTTTTTGTAAGCTCTAATATTTTTGATGGTAAGGTGCTTCCCATGATATGTTTGCATGGTACATGTAGCAATAAATCAGATCAAAGTACATTAGCTTGAGACTTAACTTATTGACGTATGAGCGAACTTGATACACCATACTAACAATTCTAGTGATTTTACAGTGAATATATTTTATTTAAGAAAGCCATGATAAATGTACATCAACAAGAATTCCTAAGAATCTGATACTGGTTTGTTTTTTAATTAGTTTATTATCTAAGATAAGACGAGGCGCCTAAGCAGGAAGGTTTTCTTTTTTTTATGAAATAATATATAATTCTTTTTTTCAACGTTAAGTGAGAGCTTATTAGCCCTAAACAAAGTATTTTATTTACTTATTTTAATTTACTTTATTTAGTTCAATGTTATAAGAAGTATGTTACATTTATTACTTAATAGATGTGTTTTCTTGTTCAAAAACTCATATTTTAGAATTTATTTTATTTTTATGTTTTTACGTCAAAGTAAATAAAAACATCAATTACATATTTTAAAGAAAAAAGTAAAATTTCTTACAATATATATAACACGTCTTTATAATAACTTTTGCCGGTGCAGACTAAATTCTACTTAACTATGAAGAGAAAATAATAAAGTATGAAGACCTTGTAATATACGTCATAGGAGAAGTACTTTAAGGTGTTGTAGTTTCCTCACTAATAACTAAACGTTAAACTAATTATTACTATTATTATTATTATTTATTTTTTTTTGAATAATTAAAATTCAATTTTTTGGACCTTTTTTGCGTTACTTCATCGTAAATAAAAAAATCACAAATTTTAGATTAAATTATCCAAAAATATCTTTCACAAATGTCGTTAACAAATAAAACATATTTACAGTCATATAAAAAGCTGTCTACAAAGGAATTGTAGAATTTTCTACAATGGATTTAATACTTTCTTAACCCATAATAGACATACAAACAACAGCTGAGGGATTTTGTTGCCATACGCACACGCTATACTTGAACTTTTTGTTACAACCACAAGTCTATTTTTTGTCTTTTTTTCAGCTTTGATGACTCTCACTAAATTCTACTTGACTATGACCCATAATGTTGTAATGATATCGCTGATGAAAATTATATTGGAGGTATTTAGAAGGAAGTTTTTGTTACCTTTTTTTACCTTTTTTTGGAACTCGAGTTGTATTGCTGAATTTGCATATTTATGATGCTTTGCCTATGGTTAAAATAATGGTTAATTATTTATAGATTAGACATGAGGAAAAGTATAGTAGATTTTTACTGCATTCAAAATATATTATTATATGAAGAAAATTGGATGTTTTGGTTTTTTCACTCAAGTAAATTCTATCTTTGTTTACGAAGAAACAAACTCCAGTTTTGCAAATACGTTGCTTGTGTATTTGCGGCTTTTTTTTTTTTTTTTTTTTTTTTTTGCAGTTTAAAATGATTCAAAGTTCGTAGTTTATCGTGCTGTTCCCATCAACTTTTTTAGATCTCTGATTTTTTGGTTCAGTTTTACTCTCTATTTTGATTAATATTGCTTGCCGATTTCATTTTGAAAAATAGTTTGTGTTTATCATACAAAAATATTTTTTATCGTTTATTAAACCATTTATTATTTTGGTTGCTATTTCGTATTTTATGTTTGAATTTTCTTTTTCGGAATATTACGATTTATTATTTTTTGATATTGTAAGTTTTCTAGACATTCGTTGACATTCTTTTAGTTAAATGATTTTTCCTAATTATTTCGGTTGAATTACGAATTTGTTTTTAAGAACTTTTCTTTTTTTTTAATAAAAACTTTGTATATTCTTTGTTGTTTTCAACTTTGTTTTCTAAAAAGAAGTTTACAAATTCTACTAGTGATACACCAGCGCAAAGTGAGTCAGATAAGATTAAAAACAGAAAGATGTCACGCAAAAAAGTTTTATAAAATTTAAAACAAAAATGTTAAAAACTACTTTTTGGTAAAAAAAATCAAAAAACAAAAATATCTCAATGTTGTTCCATGATCAATTTTGGTTTAAACAAACTATTAACCTATATTCAAAATAACCCTAAAAGATTTGACGAAATTTCTTGCTTGTTAAAGAAATATTTGAAGTTAAGTAATGCATATTTTTGTTAAATACAGTGTCCGCCCCTCTTTTTTTTTTAAAAAATAGAAATTTTGGATTTCCATGTAACTCAATTCAAATTATGTACTTTTTAAGTTCTCTAAAACGTATACACTCGCGTTGTACGGGCGTTTTTTAGCATGCAAAACACTCAGTTTGGCACTTGAATTCCTTGGTCCCAAAAAACCTTTATTTTGGTGTAAACTATTTATTTATCTCACGCTTATCTAATAATTTGTTTTTTTTTTCGTTTTTAACTTAATCCGCCTCCCTGTGCTACGTAAATGCAAACGTGCACAAGTTACTTTAATTAAATGTAAAAAGCTTTAAAAAATTATCAATTAAATTGTCAATTCATAAGGCACTGTTGCTCTTGACAACTAAAAAAACATTTAGCAAAATAACTTTTTTTAAAACTTTTTAGCTCAAAACAAAGGTCGATGATTGATTTGACAACTTATCAATATAAAAAACAACAAATAAAAAATTGAAGTATTTAAATTAACAAAAGATTAAAAATACCATAAAAAGAGTTAAAATAGAATCAATAGAACTAAAAATAGAATCAATAAAGACAAATTACTGTTATAAAGTTTAAAACTGATGTTAAATTAAGTTAAAATCTACAAATTAAACTTTCGTTTTATTATAGTCGCTATATTTTGTTTTATTATAGTCGCTTTTATTATAGTCGTTTTATTATAGTCGCTATATTATACTACTGATTGAAAAGTAATCAGTACATTAAAGTCAGAATTCTACTAAGGGAGTAGTTACTATGGTAATAAAGTATTTAAGGATACCACAAAGAGTTTTAGCTCTCTTAATAAATTAATTATTTTTCTTAAAATTTGAAATATTCAAAACAAAATTTACTCAAAATCTCACTGTCGCAAAAAAAAAAAAAAAAGTAATGCCATACTTAACAAGTTGCTTTCTTATTTAAAATAAGCCAATTGAAACTTAAAAGAAGCCACTTTAACATAGACTTAGGGGATTAAATAAGGGTTTTTGCTTTGTTGATAAGACGTTGTTTAGGCCAACAATTGTAAGTAACTCTTAAAAAATGCAGCTTTTGAATGTTTTGTGTTATCAAACAATACCAGATAGTTATATCAAATCAAATAGGATAAAATTTGAAAAAAATGAGTCCGAAAGCAAAATTTTGATATTTTACTCCAAAACCGTTTTTTTTTTAGCTTACCACCAAACAAAGCAAAAATATAACCAAAGCAAAAGCAGTCGAGGTATTATGATTAGAACGTTAGGCACAAAATCCAAAAGTCTGGAGTTCAACTTTTGCTCAACATATAAAATGTCTTTGCAGGAAATGGCCAATTTAATGTGAAAATACCTAGTTAAGTGTTACTTTTATGAAAGTACTCAGTGATAAGTCTTTTTTTTAATTACAAATGATAATTGCGCAAACTTTAAAAATGTTTGTTTATTTCAAAATTACAAACAAAACGTTTTAAAGGTTATTACAGGAAATGCAAAAATTATTGAACAATGATTTTAATGAGCAATATAAAAACGAACTTTTGAAATCTTCTCTAAGTGATTTTGATAAGAATCTACACTAATCACAACTATTTGACGTTATTAATTCATTACATTTTTTCTTAATAAATCCTATAAAATGAATGCTTTGCGTATATTTACACTTTGTATTTAAAATTCATATGTATTACGAGATTACTTTATAAAGAAATGTTTTTAAAAACAGAACTAGATTTTTTTTTTTTTAAACAATTTTAACAAAATTGTGTTTAATAAATTTTTTGAAGTGGTTTTTCAATAATTTTTATATATTTCATAAACAAAATGATATATATATATATATATATATATATATATATATATATATATATATATATATATATATATATATATATATATATATATATATATTATATATATATATATATATATAAATATATATATTTATATATATATATATATATATTGTTGTTTAATGTTATTATTGTTATTGTTACTATTTTAGATGAATTTATTGTTAATAATAAACACTTGATTTGCGTTTAGCGGTTAAATTATTTCAAAAAGAATGAAATTATTTTAAACAAAAATTTTTAATTCTTCAAAGTTTTACCAATGATTTTTCATTTATTTACACCAAATAAACTTATTACAAACTTGAAATTGTATGACTTCAATTTTTTTATTACCAACAAAAGCCAATACTAGGTACAAAAATATCATAAAATTAATTAGAGTATCTAATAAAAAAAAGTATTCATAAATCACAGTATTTTATACAAAAGAATAAAATTTTATTTTTTAAACAAATAGTAAAAGTTAGAAAATATGACAATGTATTGGGATTTGATTTTAAGAAGCATTTTTTTGGCATTTATCTTTGTCTTTGGATTGATTGGTAACGTATTTGTTATATATTTCTTCTCATTTAAAATGAGGAAAGCGCCAAACTTTCGTTGGTTAATTGTTCATCTTGCAATTGCTGACGTTATTTACGGTATAATCACTCCAACCCAGTTTTTATATTTGCTTTTTACAAATGGCGAATGGCGATTGGGTGTTGTAATGTGTAAATGTGTTCAATATGTTGGTCCGCTTACTACAAACGTTAGTGCATGGATATTATGTTATATGGGTTATGAACGCTATACAGCTATTTGCTATCCGTTTCGGCAGCGTTTATCAACTTTCACAATACACCTTGGTGTTTCATTTATTTGGGTATCATGTATGCTTTTAAAAGTGCAACATGTTTTAAGAGGAGATGTCAAAGATAAGGTATGTATCAGTGATATTCCAACGTTATACGAGTATAATGCAAACGCAATCTTGACATTAATAGTTGATAGTTTGATTCCGATGATTTTTTTAACTTACTACTTAGTACGTGTAAATGTAACACTGCGTCTACGTACAAAGTACTTGGATGACCTCAGAAGTAATGTTCCAAGTATTAATATGAACACACTTTATCAAGTTAGAAGACGGAATTTTTACAGAGATGTAAGTTGTGGAAGAAATAACTTTTTTGCTGAAAACAACAACTGTCAAAGTAATAAATTTAGGTTGTCACGAGCTACGTCATTTTGTGAAAAAAGACGAAATGCAATGTTTTTTGATCCAAGTTTGCAACGCGCTGAACGAATTGCACAAGAATCGTACACTACAGAAAATATTGAAGATTTAAATATATGCAGACCTCTATCAAGTAAAAACCAATTACGTTGTCCTAATCACAGTATAAATGCATTGGTTGCCACAATAAGTCGTAAACGAGCTTCATGGAGAGAACTTGCCAGAATAAGAATCAAAGAGGCAGGAGATCGAGCTATAATAAATGTATTTTCGTTGACAGTCATTGCATTTTTTGTTTCATCGTTGCCATACAATGTATTTTATTTAGTAGTAGTACTTTTACACACTACTTTTGTTACGGTAGCTAATGAGCATAAGAATGAACTTATACTTGCAAATAGTTGGCTTGGGCTTCTTGTAATATCCGGATGTGTAATGAACATTTTTATTTATAGTGGAAAGTTTCCAGATTTCCGTCGACAGATACATGGATGGTTGCGAAATAAAGATAGAAGAAGTGTCGTTTTGTTTTTTGTGCCTCGGAAAAATTTATTCATTGGATCACGAAGATAAAAACTAAAAGAAAAATTTTACTTATTTATATTAATATTTTTATTCAAAATTAAGTATACAAATTTATTGTGTTATATTTATATATTTATTTAAATTTGAAATACATTCATTGGTTTTCAAAATAAAAAACTATTTTCATCCAGTTTTTGCATGTTTGACTGTCTGTATGTATACATTAATGTATGAATGTATGTATGTATGTATGTTTGTTACCCGAATGTTTATATATTCTAATTTAAATTTAAAATGCTGGTAGAAACTAATAAACTTGAAAAGACTTTAAACAAATCAGTAAGGGGGTTCAGCATTTTTAGGTGTTTTAGATCCAGACATAAAGCAAACTCCAAACATTTGAATGTTTATATTTATGTCAAACTGTGATGCTTTGCAAAAAAAATTACGATGATTAGAGGCCGGGAACAAAAAAATTCTAAAATTTCATCCCCCTTCCTGCCCTAAACTTATGAGCAGCAAGTTGATAAAATAACTTTTTTGCTATTTTCAACTAAATTTATATTCATCAATATATTTTAAGTCTCTAAGCGTTCAAAAATTATGATTATATAAAAGTTGTAACCCATCAAATTGAGGGGGTTTAAACTTTATAAGGTCAATACATTTGAATGCTTAGAGATAATACTTTAAAACTTAACATTTATCGATGAATATAAGTTTAGTTGAGAATAGCAAAACAAAAAAAACTTTTTTTTCTAAATTTAAGTTAGCAAAAAAAAAAAATTTCTAGGTTTTACTCGGCAAAAAACAGATACATCACCCCTTTTAATATCTCTTCAGAATGATCCTGAGTGGCGCCATCTAGAAACTGTTGTCAGGACTCTTTAGATAAATTATTTTTGATCAACTAAATTTCATATTTTTTTATCCATTTTATTATCACTTCTTTTATTATCTATCTATTTTAGCATAGTTTCGAGTCATTCACATTTTAATATTTTATCGTAATTAATGCTTTATGGTTTTTTTGTTTGACCATATGTGAAATAGTATACTTAATTATTGAAAATAAGCAATAATTACATTGTAAATAAAAACATCTGCAGCATATAAGATATTTTACTTAGACTAATAACTCCTGATTGTAATTGGCTGTTAACGCCTCATATTCATTTTCGATATTCAATATTGAGGTTATGTATATATGTTTTGCGATTGCGATCAAAGTCTGTAATTTACTGAAAACAAATGTAATTAAATATGAACGTGTAACAAATAAAATAAAAAAAAGCAGATATTTTTAGCATTTGTAAATGCTACAATGTAGCATTTACAAATGCTACTGGGACCAATTACAATGTAGCATTTACAAATGCTACTGGGACCAATTGGATTCATTTAAATTCTACTGGGACCAATTAGATTCAACTAATGATTTTTTTAAAGCCAAATATTACTCTAAAATGATTTATTAATAAGGAAGAATTTTATACTGTTTTGTGTCATACGAAACAGCACCAATTACCAGGAAAAGCTTTGTTGATTTTTGACGGACATCGTAGTCATTTGGATATTGTTGTAATAAAAGAAGTCTAAAAGTTATACATTCATATGCTTTGTCTTTCTAGCTTATTGCAGTTATGAACTTCAATCTTCAACCTCTGGACAAAATGTTTTCAAAACATTGAAAACTTACTTTATTGCTACAATAGACAATTTCCGAAAAAAATTTCTTAGAAGACTGTCCAGTAAATAATAATGGAAACTACTGTCATAACTGTAGTTTCCATTATTATTTACTGAAGCATAACTGTGTACCACTACACCAGAAAATGCCATTTTTAGATTAAGATCTACAGGAATCTATCCTTTCAACAACAATATTATACCGCAAATAGCTTTTGTTTCTAGTAAAATTTCAAGTTGCAAAAACGTTGAAAATCTTAACAATACAAGTCTAGTTCTTTGGAATCTAGAACTTTAAAGCCTGCAACAAGTAACCCTACAATAGTTGTTGATCAAGCTGAAGGATAAAATTATTAAAACACCCAAAGTGGTAACAAAACATAAATCTGAAAAAATTTTTAAAGCATTAAAAAAAAGAAGTGAGTGACGCTTTGTAAACAATTATAGTTATTTTATTCAAAAATTAAATATCAATAAAAACAATTATGATTCAAGATAAAGTTACTAAAACACCCAAACTGGAATAATGGTTTATTTTTAGTTTATATCTTTAACTTAATCTGCGTAATGAATACCAATAAAATAAAGCTGTGGGTGCTGTTATAGGACGCAAATGAGGTTTATATCGTCACTTTTCTGAAAATAGGTGCTCTATTTTCAAAAAAAATAATATTTCCATGAAATTATTTTAGTTGAGAGCAACAAATTTATGATGTTTCGGATAACGGATATATTGTAAAACTTTAATATTTACCGTTATTGCACCTCCTAACATCAAGTGCAATCCTGTCCGCTTTCTCTATGCTATCTTTCTAACACGACTACTTCTGCCTTTCACTCTAACATAGCTTCGTTCTTCTTAAACTCACTTTACTCATGGTCCATAGAGTAGGTCATGACGTTATTAATAAACCGAACTTGACTCTGTGGTCATTGGTAATGTGGCCTCCGTATGGCAATTAGCTGGACGAGGATAAACCACAATACCAATTTATGATGTTTCAAGAGGTGAACAGTTATCATTTTGTTTGATATTTAAAATCAACTTCTTCATTTGGTTTAGACTTTTTTTACTATATGGCGTAAGTTTAACGTAAGGGGAATGATTTTTTAGAAGTGATGTGAGGCCACTTAATCCTTTTTTTTTTAGTCTTCAGATCCACTTGAAACTGGGTTTTGAAATTGATAATTTTTGGGTTGGTTGGTTCAATATTGAAGGTGTTCACCGTATTAGATTTTTCTTTCTGCTTAAATCCGTTCGACAAAGAATAAAATTAAAGACTGAAACAAATTTTCATATCGTTTATTGATGTTGCGGGGTAAAAGTTAAAAAAAAAGTTTAATAATTTAATAAACAATTTTTGAAAGTTATAACAGCTATAAATTATACACCTAAACATCAGAATAATCCTTCAAAAATTTTATTTGGTTAGTCAAAATAAATATAACTTATTGAGAAAAAAAATAATCAGACGTAAACGTAAATCTTTATAGCACATGATGAGCATATGCAGTTCTGTGAAGTAATGTTATTTATAACAACCCAGGTCACTGATTCTCTGAACTCTTCGTTCCGAAACGTATTAATGCATTACGGAACCAGGGAATCAGGTATAATTAGCGCTAATTAGTGACTAGTTATAATTAAAAAAATAAGATATTTTTACGCGCTTTAAATAATTAATCAATTAATTTAGACGTCATCGTCCGGTGAAATATTTTAATATCAGTTTATGTATAATTGAAAAACATTCACTTCACAAAGTAAGTAAATAGTAATTTATTTAATTACAAACATATAAAAATTTCATATATATATATATATATATATATATATATACATAAATATATATATATATATATATATATATATATATATATATATATATATATATATATATATATATATATATATATATATATATATATACTCATATAGTGTCGCTTTAAGAGCATTTTAATGTAAAAAAAGTCTCTTACGACTACAATTTTAATTACTCGTCTCTTAAGCTGTTTTTAATTTATGCGGAAGTACATTAAATTTAATTGTTTTTTAAAAAATTTTTAAAAAACCGCAATTATAACGACTAGAAAGTTTTTTTTAATTAGTGGTGTTTTTGTTATTGATTTAATAAAAAACATTTTTTAAACATGCGTAAATGTTGCTACATCGACTATCTTATAGCCTGACTCGCAACGGAGTGCTGCTACATCGACTGACAAATAGCCTGACTCGCAACAGAGTGCTGCTACATCGACTGACAAATAGCCTGACTCGCAACAGAGTGCTGCTACATCGACTGACAAATAGCCTGACTCGCAAGGGAATGCTGCTACATCGACTGACAAATAGCCTGACTCGCAAGGGAGTGCTGCTACAACGACTGACAAATAGCCTGACTCGCAAGAGAGTGCTGCTACATCGACTGAGGGTTTGGTTTGGCCAGGCAGTCTATCAATTAAAAAAAAAAATTTAATTTTTAAAACTTTTTCTGGTCTGGTTTATTAACGCGCTCTTTAAAACTACAGTTTATGGGAAATATTTTTTGATGCTACGCAAGAGACATGCAAGACTATATATATATATATATATATATATATATATATATATATATATATATATATATATATATATATATATATATATATATATATATATACATATATATATATATATATATATATATATATATATATATATATATATATATATATATATCCATATTAAATTAATGTGAAATTCAGTTTTTAGCAACCACTTACATAACTTTTATTTATTTTGAGATCAATAACATAAAAACTGCTAAAATAACTTATTTATATATATATATATATATATATATATATATATATATATATATATATATATATATATATATATATATATATATATATATATATATATATACATATATATATATATATATATATATATATATATATATATATATATATATATATATATATATATATATATATATATATATATATATATACATATATATATATATATATAATATATATATATATATATATATATATATATATATATATATATATATATATATATATATATATATATATATATATATATATATATATATATATATATATATATATATATATATATACTTGCTTCCCCAGCTTTAATTCACTTCTCTAATTAAAAAGTTGTTAAAATGTGCCGTTGGCACCCCTGAACTTACTTAGACGAAAAAAAATGTTGAAAAAAAAAAATTCTAACAAATAACTTAATGTTTGTTTTAATTCACTGATTATTGTATAAAACTGATTGTATCAGTTTTATAAAAATTATGAATTTTTAATATGGAGTTGCAAGCAATATTGGCGCCATTTTAGCGCAATATTCGGATAATATTTTGCAATATCTCAACAATAATGAGTGAATGTTTGGTACATTAGCTAACATAGCT